TTCTTACAATTTCCGTGGTTTCCATGTAATTTTTATCGATATCGATATTATCCCGATATTTCCATCGATATTTCCGTGTTTTCGGACTACCGATATTTCCGATATTACCGATATTTTCTTCCTTGGTAAATACTATCGTTTTTTTAAAAAAAAATGTAAAAAGATTTGTAGAGGACCCTATTGGTAAAGTTTATTACATTATTCAAAACAAAAAAAGAAATAAATAATATGGTGTCAAAGTAATGAACATACAAGCATATACATTTATTTGCATTGTTCTGACTATATCTTTATATATAAAGTCAACAACTCATTTTGGAGTCACAAGTTTCATAAAAAAGATTTGGACAAAAATGCCCCCAAAACAAAAAAAAATTCAAAAGCAACCCAAAATAATTCACCAAATAATGCAGGGGTATTTTCGCTATTTTAACAGTGTTTTTTTAATAACTAATTCTTTTTGTACAGTTTTTTTTTAGTTAGTACCTCACAATAGGCTAGCAATAATGTGCTTCAATCAGTAGTTCATTAAATATTATTTTCTCTATTTTCAAGCACGTTCAAAACATCTTAAGAGGTGTGTAATGTTGGTTATAAAAAAAGTCCTTTGCACGCGCATAATAATGTGATTAAATTAGTTGTCAAATTTTTTTTTTTTGAACAAACTATATTATCTACACAAAAGGGGTGGACTTAGCCTCACAATGGGTTAGCAATAATGTGATTCAATCAGTTGTTTATTAAATATTATTTTCTCTATTCTTAATGTAAATTCAATATAATGTAGATGAAAATTGAAAGACTGATTTTATTATGTGAATTCAGTTTCTTTTTCTAGCAATAATGTGATTCAATCAGTTGTTTATTAAATATTATTTTCTCTATTCTTAATGTAAATTCAATAGAATGTAGATGAAAATTGAAAGACTGATTTTATTATGTGAATTCAGTTTCTTTTTCTAGCAATAATGTGATGGGTTAGCAATAATGTGATTCAATCAGTTGTTTATTAAATATTATTTTCTCTATTCTTAATGTAAATTCAATAGAATGTAGATGAAAATTGAAAGACTGATTATATTATGTGAATTCAGTTTTTTTTCTAGCATGATCTAAGATTATTCATTTACTTCAAATATTTGACTTTCCTTTTGTCAATTCACGCATATAAATACATTTAAAATGTGTAAGTTGCGCGTAATACACCGTGATTCAAAAAATGCCTTCATGCACGCGCTCATGCGCATGAAGGCTAGTAGTTTAATAATTAAAAGAGAGTGGGAGCAATTTTGCTCACCACTACAACTATGGTGTATGCACACTGTACACCTAATCATTTGACATGTATCATTTCACCTAATTCTAGTTAAATTTCACATTAAATGTTAGTTTTTCAATTTTGAAAAAAAATAACCAAGGTTAAGTGAAGGGACACGTGGCAGATAATTAATATATGGTAAACATACACTATAGTTTATAGCAGTGAGCAAAAATGCTTCCATAAAGAGTCCAAAGGATTCATGCCATGGTCTAAAACTTTAGCATGAGCATTTTTACCCACCATCATAACTATAGTGTATGCTCACCATACATTTAATAATTTGTTATGTGTAATTTCAACTAATTCTAGTTAAATTTCGCATTAAATGCTACTTTTCAGTTTTGAAAAAAAAAATAACCAAGATTAAGTGACACATGATAAATGATTATGTGTATGGTGAACATCACATAAGGTTTAGAGTGATGAGCATAAATGCTCCCAACTTTAGTGGTGGTTTCATTTGTCCAAAGAAAATATGCCCTAATAAAATATTATTATTATTATTCCCTTTTGCTTGTAGAGGAGCCTTAATCCAATTTAGTGGTGAGTATGGTGACTTTCATTTGTTCATTAGACTTTTTGTACCCTAGTTGGACATGAGGATTGAAGACATGAAAAAAAAAAATTAATAAAAAATTCTCAGACAACTTTATTTAACATTAAGAGCACATTTTCTTATTATTACGGACACTTTCCTTATTACTAAAGACATTTTCTTAATTTTTTTTTGGTCAAATAGCAAACTTTATTAAATTCGAATTGGAATGTTTTCTTAATTCAAAATCTTCATAAAGTGTGACTTATTTTTTTGTTTTTATTTTTTTCCATATAATCATACGCGAAGCTATAGAAGGACCGAGAGGGGCGGCCTCTCCTCCCAATAAAGCCTAAAAATGATGGAAATCAAGCCGATTTTGTCAGTTAACTTTTAGAGTTAGCGACAATCCCTCTTAGTCTTTTTTCTCTCTTCCTTTCCTTAATTCTCTTATCTTCAAATTATATTCATCCTTTGACTATGGTTTCTCTTTTCCTTTGAAAAAAAAGTCTTCATGGTAATGATCACTCTTTCGTGCTGTTGAGAAGAGCTTTGTAATGCTTACGGTTTACGAATCAACGATCGGGAGTTGTTGTTGAGAGTTGAGGTAGTGATTTTGTTTTTCTTTTGGTTTGTGTGCAGAACAAATGACTATGAAAAGGAAGTTCGATGTTTGTTGAAGGTGACTTATAACAGTGCTTCTTTGTTGAGTATGGCAAGATCGTTAGAGGGGCTGTGATCTTTCCTGTGATATCATTATGGTGGTTTTACAACTTGTGAGGTTTAGTATCGTGAGTGTTATCTTTTAGTCTAGGAATTGTATTTTATTCCTAATGAAATTATAATGCTTCTTTTGGTATGTGTGACATTTTAGTTACGTTCTGCATGCATGTTTTATTTACGTTCTTGGTCGTTATTTGATAAATTTGATTAGTTTTAAAAAGTTAACACAACATGTTAGTTAACAAATTTGGCTTGATTAGTAATGGACGCAATTTAATTAATCCATTACACAGTGTTGACAATGTCGCCAAGAAAGCTTTTTGAATCCACACTAGTCAATGTAACAATAAAATGATCACTTAAGTATTACGGTTTAGTTGTATTTCTCTTTATAAGTGAGAGGTTTTATGTTCAATTCTCACCAAAAGCAAAATTAAACTACATTATTGATAGCTCATTATGAGTCTTAGCCTACTCGCTCACCCCTTAGCGTACATAATATCGTTTATTAAAAAAAAAATACACACACAAGTAAAAATTATTTAAATATTATTAGATCAAGTTCGTCACCATCGAATTTGAAAATTAGTTTTCTCGGTATGTACTAATTAAACACAACTTCTTCTTAGATTGATCGATTTGTTTGGATGATTATTATTTTTTGAACAAACGACATTATCTATACTAAAGGGGAGGGAGTAGACTAAATTTCACAATGGGCTAGCAATAATATCATTCCAATTCACCTTTAACGAAAATCAAACTTAAGACCTCTCAGTTACAAGTGAAGAGAAATACCACTAGACCATAATATTTAAGTGGTCATTTTAGCATTAAATTGACTAGTATGGATTCAAAAGGATTTGGATCCCATCCGGATCCAAATTGTAGGATCCTAGGGATCCTCACATCTTAGCAATTCATCATGTATTGTGCGGTTATAAATCATTTGAATTTTTTTATTTAATATTAAACATAAATAGTATCCGATGAAAATTGACATCACAATATACGATAAACGATTAGAATGTGGAGATCCCTATGATCCTCTTCCGATTCAAAAAGCTTTATTGGATGATTTTTTTATCTATATTTGAGCATAAATAACCACACTTAGAAATAAATGGTCACGTGCCATTAGTTTGAGGACATTTTGATCAACGTAAATGGGTCCCCGAAACACCAATAAAAATATTCATATATCATTATGTCAAATTTTCTAATGAAAGTCACTTCTATTATTATTTAAGCATATTAAAAAATTGAAGATTAGCTTGGCAAGAAAAAAAATTGATGACCTAAGGGAAAGACCTCAAAAGTTTAGGAGGCATATATGAATTTAACCCATAAGTTAAATTTATATTCCATGAGTAATTCGTAAAATTTATGTAATATCTATAACAACCCTACAGTTAGTAGGCGATTATGATAATTGGTGCGTGGTCAAATTGAAAAATACTTAAGTTTGGACACTTGACACATGATGGCTAACTACTCTTTACTTATGCTCCGTATATATATGAACGACTATCAGCTATTAATATATGTGATATTCCGATACAGACGATACGTAAAGGCTATAATAAATACTCATAATGTTATACCTATGAAATTCCTATTTACTAGGTCTACAACATCTCATCTTAATTTAATCGGAAAATGATTCTCGCCGGATCCTTTTCCAATTTAATCCATGTTAGCCTATGATAGTGGGTCCTATTACAATTTAATCTAGTAGTGTTACACAAAATTAGTGAATGATTTTTGCAAATAAAAATGTCACAATAAGAGAAATTTTCTAGTAGTAGTAGCAGCTATTTACAGAAGAATTGTCAACAAACTTGGAATTCCGAAAAGATAGAACACAAAACAGATTTAACTCTTCATCTGAGTTTCCCACTTGTTCTACCTCCATTTACTGCAAACCCAAAACAGATTTAACTTGTTCCTGGAAAAAATAAATACAAAAAGAGAGAAGGATATTGACCGAAGCAAAAGAAACCAGTCAAATTATTTTGCAGAGTAAGAAGAAAAAAAGATAGCATTGGAACCTGCGGGTTGAAAATTGAATCACTCTTTTAACTGTGGTCAATATTTTTCAGGTTGGAAAATGCAACATTTTCTTCAACAGCGTTGAGAAAAATCAGAAAAAATCATAAACAATAATGAGTTTTCGAGTTTTTTCAGATGGGCATTTGCAACTGCAGCACCTCTCTCTCACTCCTTTAAGCCACCGACTCGTGTCGGTGCCTCCCTTTCCCACACAACCCAGTTGGAAAATGTAACTTTCTCTCGAGTCTCCATCTCTCCACAGTGTTATTTACTGCACCTGCTCATTTAGTCATCTCACACATCCTATCTTTCAGAAAATTCCAATAAATTTAGGAAATTTTATTTTCATATACGTGTGTGGATTTCTGCCCATTAATTGTGACAATTTCCAGTATCCATTTTTAATTTCTGCTTTCCAAGTGGGGAGAGAGAGAGAGTTGGAGTGCGGATATCAATCAATAGGTAATTTACCTCATTTCATACGTATTTGTTTGCTTTTTCACTCTTTGTTTTTTATTTACCCTTCTTGTTTTGGTTTCTGCTTGTTGGTGGCAGATGGATTGCATTTTGTAGCTCTCTCTTTCTCTCTCTTTCTCTCTCTTCCTTGCTCAGTCTCTGCGGATAAACAGGTGAGTTGTTCAAATAATCCAAATCCTTAAAAAGTTTACAAATCCCACCTCTTCAGGCCGTTTAATCAGTCTAATGTTGTTTTTATGTTTTACCATATAATTTCTGTCCAATTTTCTTCGACAAAAACAAGAACAAAATCCAGTAAAAGGTAAAAGCTTTAATCTTGTTCGGTGTCGAACTTGTTGCAAAAGCAGGGGCATCTCAAAGACTGCAACTTTGAGATGCAGCAGTTGTTCTTTCTGTGCTTTTGGGTTCCCAAATCATTAAAAAAAGGAAAAATTCAGAGCTTAAATTTCTAATTTTTAACTCACTTTCTTCAATTCGCAAGTGGGGTTTTGGCTCTCCTCTGGATCTGTTCATGTTCTGTCTTCTAAGTTCTAACCTCCTGGATTTCGATTCTTTCGTTGGCTGGCTACTGCTTTTAGCTCCCACTTGGACAGAAACCTCTTTTTGTTCACATGAAATGTTGCCGGATCTACACAAGATTTTGGTCTTAATTTTGATGAATTAATCTGTCATTTATCGCTGCTGTTTTTCTGTTTATGTTCTCATACAACTACTGTACATGTGGTCGGTTAATCTTTGATGTTTGTTCTTTTTCTGTCTTAGTTTTTTTTTGTTTTTGTAATTCTTGTTTTTATCGGCACAGATGAACATTTTGTTTTCCAGCAGTATTTATTTGTGGAAAAATATCATGGATTTACATCTGCTCACGCTTTTTTCTTTTAATCTTGATTTTCTCATGAAATCCAAGAAATTTATTACTTTTACATGAGATTTATGTAGAAATATCGTATTTTGTTTTTCAACTTTAATGGTATGTAGTTTTTATCATTTTTCTGAAGGCAGACTAGATGGAAGTGGGAAGTGATTTTCGGCATTGGGACGAATTGATACCTGATGCATTGGGTCTGATTTTCAGCAACCTCACTCTCCAGGAGATACTGACAGTGATCCCGAGGGTTTGCCAATCCTGGAACAAGGCAGTCTTGGGGCCTTACTGCTGGCAAGAGATTGACATTGAGGACTGGAGTAACAGATGCGAACCTCACCACCTCGATCGTATGCTCGAAACGCTGATTGCAAGAAGCTGTGGATCGCTCCGAAAGCTCTCAGTCTCCGGCCTCCAAAATGACAGGATCTTCTCGCACATCGCTGATCAGTAAGCATACTAGCAAATTTTTATCACTACATGTTTTAATTCATAAGAATTTTGTGATCACACACATTACTGTATATGCGAAGGTCCGTCATTTTGTTTCCTATAATTGAACATTTCGTGCAATCCCATGAGACTGCTTTTAGTACAATGGGAACCTTCAGTCATGATTATCTTCTTATATACTTTCAAATCACTATTAATTAAGGCTATATATTCAATGTCTTCTGTTAATTAAGGTTTTTTTGCAAGTGGAGGAAGAGTGGTTTATGATAATTGATTAATTAATCTCGTTGGTTTTGCAAGTGCTGGTTCCCTTCAGACCTTGAGACTGCCAAGAAGTGAAATTAGCGATTCTATAGTAGAAAAGACTGCTGGAAGGCTCTCTAATATCACTTTCCTGGATCTTAGCTACTGTGGCAAAATTAGTTTTCGTGCTTTAGAGACCATTGGAAAGAACTGTAAAATGCTCGTAGCATTGTGTCGGAATATGCACCCATTGGATACAGCAGGCAAGCCTTTGCTGGATGACGAGGCTTGTGCCATTGCCACTACAATGCCTAGGCTCAAGCACCTTGAGATGGCATACCATCTTATCAGCACAGGAAGTGCTCTCCAAATACTTTCAAGCTGCCACGAGCTTGAGTTTCTGGATTTGAGAGGGTGCTGGGATGTTAAACTTGAGGACAAGTTCCTGAAAGAAAAGTACCCAAAATTGAAGGTTTTGGGGCCTCTTGTTCTGGACTACTATGAGAGGAATGAGTGGGAAGATTGCTCAGACTTCTCCGATGCTTCTGAGTATTTGGCATGGGAATTCGTCGCCGGTGAATTGGATGATTACTATGATGACGACGACGATGAGAGTTATGCCGAGATGTGGGATGGTGAGGAGAGGCTGGACCAGCTTGAGCTGAGGTTCTATGAAGGACTTGGTCACCATGAGGATGCAGGAGGAGTTGGTTGGCCTCCATCACCTTAGTAAAATTAAAGTTTGTGTTTTTTTTCTTCATTTGTCAAACTGTTTGCTTCTCTTTTTTCAAGCACTTCCTTGATGCTTCTGTTTGGAACTTATTATATCTTTTTATGGATATGTATATCTTTCAATGGGAAATGAAAAGCATGGTTTGTTTGTTTAGTCCCAATTTTTTGCCCATTGCCTTATTAGTTGACCTTTGAGTGTTTGTGTTACCAATACTTGCATAAAATGGCAAGCAATATGGACTAGTTCAGTTGAAAAGAAAGAGTAGGAAAAGTAGATTTTTCTGGTTCACCTAAACAAAAGGGTACATTTACTGCCTGGCCAGCATTGTCCAAGTTAGAATTACTTTACTGACTGAGATAGATGTCTGCATAAAGTTCAAATCTATTTGGATGATAAAAGTTGCCACCTTGTGAATTTCAAAGAAAATCTCTCCCTCACTCCCTCATTGTGAGGCTAAAGTACTTGATGGGGCTATTGAAGAAAAGGTAATCCATTCTCGTGTTGTATGCTCCTCTCTATATTTTTATATTCTCGTGATTTTCATACGCTTTTTTTTTTTTTTTTGGCTTATTGTTTTTAAATTTATTATAATACATCATGGGACAGAAATAAATGTATGGCAAGCATGATACGTGGACTCAATCCACGCTACCATTTCAAATATCCAAGAAGGATAGGATTGTTGTAAATATTATGTGGATGGTCCACATGAATAGTTTGTACTATTTATGCATAGTATTTTCACTATTCATTTGTGGAAAATTTGTAAAGTGAATAGTGCTTTCTTTTGTTTATATAAAGGAAGAAGATGAATGAAGTGAGGGAAGTTCACGGGAAAGAAAGAGAGGAAGGAAGGAAGAGGAAGAGAGAGAAGGAAGAGGAAGAGAGAGAATAGAGGAAGATGAGAGGAGATAATAGAGAGAGTTATCTTTGTACTCCTATTATTTCAGATTATAATGAAAGCACCACTGCTGCCCCGAGGACGTACTCCAGTCACACTGACTGTAGAGGAACCTCGTAAATTTTGTGTCTTGTTTCATTTATTCCACTGCACCCACCGTCGATTTTACAACACGTTATCAGCACGAAAAGCTCTCATGTCAGTGGAAAGCACAACATCATAAATCTGGTGAAGCATTATCTACCTCTCACCTCGGTCAGCTAAAATCTCACAGAGTAGAGACGGCAAGCCAGACATGTCAAACAGGGAAGATCATCTTGTCAAAATTCCATCAACCTTTCTTTTATCACTTTTCTTTTATCACTCTAACTATTGATGTGCTAATCCTTATCCCTGCTAGACCTGCAATTTATTTTTTCTCTCGTGGACAAGAAAGATGGAGAGATCTTACAGACAAACAAAGGTGCAGCAAAACAAGCAAAGGTATGTCCATTTTTCGTTTCTCCCACCGCGCCAGAAGCGCCCCACCGAATTCCGGTGCGAATTGAAATTTCCAACGACCTGAAGTCGTCACGAGATAAGAAAACTCGTACCTGACAACTGGTTTCCAGAGATCCAGAAGAATCTCATTAGACTTGGAAACCCAGATCGTGTCGTTCTCAATGGATCTCGAGGACCTTCATGAATCCTCAGTTGTCTGAAATGGTGATGGCATGACTGACCCCACACAGGCCTCCCTCTCTTGTGCCTTCGTCAACCTCACTGTCATCTATGTCTCTATGGAGAGGTTCTTGCTTTGCGATGCCATGTTCTTTGGGCCATACAAGAACAACGCCAGTCTCTGGTAGCCTTTTTGGATTGAATTGGTTTTGTGTAACTCCCACAACAACCCAGCTGGTACTGGGTTTCGAGACTGGTAGAGATAGACAAAGAAAAGGGGAAATGGGGCCAATGATTTGGAAAGGTGCGTTGCACCATGTAAAATGAAAGAAAAGGCAATGTTTTTTTGGAATGGTGTAGAATGTGATTGAATGAGAAAATAATAAAATAAAATAAAAAGGAAATGGGGACGAAGGTTATTGGAGGTACATGAGCACCATCTGGTAAGGATAAGAATAATAATAAAAAAGGGGAAAAGTTTGAATGATTGCCAATCAAAGAAAAAAAAAAATATGATGGAAACTTAATCATCACCCTTTTCTATTATTGCTTTATTTATGTGAATGGTGTTGGCTTAAAACACTTTCACAAGCTCTATTTATTTAAAGCAATTTATTTACAGTGGGTAGAATTATTACCCTTTGCTTTAAAGCTTTGATATTTATGTGAATGGTGCTGAATTAAAGCCCTTGTCACAAGCTTTATTTACTTTACAGCAATTTATTTATCATGGACGGTTTTACCGCCTACTGCTTTAAGTTTTGATTTATGTGAATGGTGCTGAATTAAAACCCTTGTCACAAGCTTTAATTTATTTATTGTTCAATTTATTTACTATGGCTGGAATTACCGCCTATTGCTTTAATTTATTTATTGTACTTATCTTTTGTTACGATGAGTATAACAAGGACCCAGAGTTCCTTGATTAGATCAGAACATGCAATTTCTTGATCCTCATCACATAAAATGATAGGACCCGAAGTTCCATCATGCAAAAGGATCAAACATGAAGTCCCTAGATCCTCAAGATCGGACATGAAGTTTCTTGATAAGTACCTTAAGTTTGAAGTGCCACAGTGCCTCAACTTAATTATAATAAAGGTCATAAAAGTCTCAGTCCATAGACTATTTAATAAGGACCAGAAGTTCCTTATGTCCATACTTAAAATGGTTTAGCAGAAGCATTTATTAAGCGGATGAAATTGATTACCCGCGCTCTGCTCATGAAAACGAAATTACCAGTTTTCTACATGGGGACATGTCATTTTACATGACGCATTATTAAGTTTGGATGAGACCAGTTTCCAACCATCAATATTGCTCAGTACAACTCGTGTTTGGGAACTAGCCAAACATTATACATTTACGAGTTTTTGGTTGTGTTGTCTATGTGCCTGTAAGACTGCCACAACGTACTGAAATGAGGCATCATTGCAGATTAGGCATTGATGTTGAACACCATCTATCATTCAATATTTGGAATTCTTGATTGGGGATATGTTTACCGCATGGTTTGCGGACTGTCATTTTGATAAGACAATTTTCCTGCCATTAGGGGGAGAAAATAACATCGTTCCAGAAGAACGATGAGAAAATATCATTCCAAAAGAATGATGAGAAAAGACCGTTCCAGAAGAACGAAGAGAATTTGTCTTATTTTGATTCACGAAGCAATCAATGAGAAAATGAAATATGAATAATTGAATGATGCAACGAAAGTGATGAAATCATATATACTTACTGCAAATGTGCCTACAAGAATTGATGTCTCTGTTGGATAAAATAATGAGACAGTAAATGATTTTATCTGTTGCACGCCTGAAGCGTGGCAGATTTTTAGACTCAAAAGGTTCAGTTATTCGAAAGAAGAATAATATGGCACTACTGAACTATTGCATTCCCGAAGCATAACTGTTGCATGCCAGAAGCATGACAGTCGCCGCATGGATACACGTCCCAGATAGGACAATCCACAGACATGGGAATATTGATGTCTCATGCATGAAGCATGATTGACGTATAGGTTCTAAATGACTCAACTCTTGGAAGTGGAGATTAAAATCCAAACTCTATAACGCTCAAGAAGAGGTTATGATCCGCATTCTCTAAACTATGACTATCCTGGAAGAGATAGTGTAATGCCCTTGAAGAGGCAATGGATATCCAAAGAAATGAAAAGCTTTTATGCATGCGCATGCACATGAGAATATGGGATCACGGATTGATGATAACCAATGGTAATTTTGGTTTTTACAAGTAGCTACTAAATTCATCAATAAGCTGTGTTAATATTGAGTCACGTTCTTTTGTTCGTCGACAAAAGAAAAATTATTGGCCAAAATGGAGAAAGGCAATTCCATTACAATTTTGTAAGAACGTGGGCAAATGAACCTATATATATTTGAATACAATACAAATAGCCAAAAGATGTTGAACCAAGGAGGTTATATATGGGCATTTGCAATACAGTGTAATACACTTACATGATATGACACAAGGTTGTAAACGAGTTCATATGAATGGAGAATTATATACGAAGGGTTGTGAGTCGCCCACATTATATCTCCATAAGTAAATCCCTCAAGTATACATGGGAGCAAATTGCTATGTATAAATTCCAAAGGAAAATGTGTCATGAAGTGTAGAAAACCCTTGAAGGATTCAAATTGCTTGAAGTAAGCCTCTGAAGGGTAAAACATAAAATATGTACTCAATACCAATGGATGATATGAATTGCCTTAGTGAGTACTATCATTATGGTATTGTTGCAACATACTAAAATCTCTTGCAAGAGTCAATGACATTAAATTATAACTCTTGAAGAGTTGATGATATTAAATTGGGACTCTTGAAGAGTCTAGAAAAATTATAAAGTGTTGAAGGAATTATTGTCTTGAGCTGCAGATCGAACAATCTACCAACACGAATCTTATCCATGATATTTATGATATTAAAAAAATCATATGGATTGAAGATTATGAGTTGAATACTCATATGATGAAGACACTAAGAATAATCATTTATCTTCGTGAGGGTAAAGATAAATTAATACTTGGTCAAGAAGTACCACATCTTAGTGAAGTATATGCTTTATTGTATTTGGCACAATACATTGAATGAAATAAAGCTTATTTATTAATATCTCCAAGAAATTATAGATATATACATACACATGAGTTAAAATAAACAAACAGGATGAAGCCTTCACAAAGGTTGCTCATGTGCAGCCTCAGTACTCGGAAGTACCCCAGAAGGGGGAGGCATTAGAGATTGATCATGTGGCACCCCAGTACTTAGCAAAACACCAGAAGGGGGAAGCATCAGTTGCTTTCGGAATCTAGCAACGAACCTCTGGTGATCACTTTGAATCCGACTTTCGGATTCCTGCAGTTGGACGAGCTTTCTTTTCATGCTCGTAGAGTAACTATTTGCAAGCACGTGTAACACCCTATTCTCGTGCTTGAGCCCTCTGATCTCTTGTTTAAGACTTGCCACCTCCGCTATCAATGATTCAACTTGGCGAGTTTGAGCAAGTAGGCGTTGGCCCATATTGGACACAGAGCCAGCACACTGAACACTGAGAGCCAAGGAGTCTTGAA